TATGGTGTACACAATAAGAGCTGTAGTGAGTGACGTAGGATACGATGCATGGAAACGGAGTGCCGTAACCAAGGCTTTATGACAGGGAGACGCCGCCGCGGCTCTCGCCACGAAGGAAATCACCTTCAACAATGCTAAGCATGTGTCGCGGCGACTAGGCGCGTAGACTCGGGTCGACGTTCGGCGACGACCCCGTAGGCGAGCGGCTAGGAGCCGAAAGGGGAAAAGCGAGGGAGAGAGGGATAAACGTATCAGAAAACTCGACGGGGCAGAGCGGCGGTCGGCACGAAGGCACGAGACCGACGAAAGCTAGTCTTCACGCAAGCAGCGACAGACTAGTCCCAATGACCAAGTTATACATTAGCAATCGAAGAGAGATACAACGCTATGGTCACTCACCTAGTCCCAATGACCAAGAGGTCGAGATGGGGACTAGGGAGCGCCTAGGGGGGTCCTTATATACTAGAGGGGCTGCTTAGCAACCAAGGACAAGGCGCGAGAGCGAGGCAGTGAAGATGACAAAGGGGGAACAAAGGGCGAGAAAGAAAAGGCAAGGGCATGGCGATCACGGGAACGTAGCATGCGGCTGTGGGAACGTATCTACAGTGTCCAAACTGGGATGAGCTAGGAAAGGAAACGGTCCGGAAATGGAAGGTGGGCGTCAAAGGGAATGGAATGGGCGGTAAAAAGGGGTGTCTGTCCAACGTCCGTGACATCAATCTCTGTCTGGGCGCACAGCATTATGTGTACCCATTACTCTCAGGCTATTTAGGACCTAGCCAAGGCAGAACAGGGATGGCACTTTGGCGCGATGCACACCCAGCCGGAACAGCTCCGGGATTTCAAAATTGAAGACATGGCGAACACTATGCAGATGGTCGCGCCGAAGTTGTGGTCCCTGGTGCTGGGTCTGTCAGGTGTGGGTACTCAACACCTTCTCCACCCCCCCACCTCTGCGCTGGAATCCAATTCAGAAGGGGAGTGCTGGGCGGAGGACGAGGAGCCAGCTGGGGCAGAGGATGTGAGTGTGCGCCAAAAGCGGCAGCGGCGGATTCAACGGAACATGTTCGCGAGGATTGTAAGTTACACTCTTGTAGGCTACTAGATACTCTTGTACAGTCGTTTATCAAGGGAGAATAGAGGACTGTGGTCATTCTCAGTATCTTGATGCAATCGCGGGACCCTCGCTGCAACGCCCTTCAAAGCACCATGGGAATCTTTTTGCACTCTTGCAATGCACCAGAGAAGCTCACGAAGGTCCTCTCGCGCATGGGCATATCAATCTCACTGTCATCCATCCATCGTGCAGTTCATTCATTGTCCAGGCGGAGCTGCCAGGATATCCAGCTCCGTGGTCGGTTGCTCCTCAATTCCTATGCACTTGACAACTTCGATGTGCTCTTGAAAGTGCTCATTCACACCACAGATGGTGCGCAGGGTGGCCTCGTACATCTTACATCCGCAGCCCTTTTCCAACTCCAGCAGGTCACTCTAGAGGACTTGCCCTGCTCGAAACTCGTCTGGGAGCGCTCTGACCTAAATCCCCACGCGACAAATCCTCGTCCCTTTAACCCTCGTGCGACTATGGATTTTATCTATCAACTTCATCCCGAACCCGATGTCGACGAAAGTCAACTGAGCCGCTCTGGTCGCTTCCATGCTTGGAAGTTCATGATGGACTTATTCGAGCACGGACCTTCATACTTCCAGCGCTTCAAGAACCTCCCTACCGATCCTGACCCTGTCGATCCTATCCCCCTCACAAAAACTCACTACCTGCCTCTCCGTGCGATGGACATCAACCAGTCTACTGTAGCTGGAAATCTAAGGGCTCTCAGTGATATGTACAAGCAGGCAGGTGTGAGCGATCCTCGAAACCAATTTGAGGGAGAACCTCCGCTCGCAGATATCGTGGAGTACATCACAATTGTATTTGGCAACCTGGGTACCTACGAGCGCTTCATGTCTGCGCTCCGCCAAAGATCTGTAGAAAGAACACCATACGACCGCTGTCAGTCCGTCGCCTTCGGAATCGGGTATTTCCATGTCAAGATGGCCGCAACGGACACGGTCTGGCGGCTGGTGGTAAACCCTACAAATGCAAGACAGGACGATACGAGCTTTATGAAGACCGCTGGGGAGCTGCGCCCTAATGAGAGCTTGTGATTGGTATCTGGAGCAACATTTCGTCAGCAGCATGAACTCATCGGCCATGTTGGCATTCTCTTACGATTGGACGTATGGCGTACAGAGGTCAAGCGCCGTAACCCCTCAATCAAGTCGCTAGAGGCTTGGGCCGAAACAAAGCCTTCGCTGGCTGAAATAGAGGATGTCGCGGAGGCTCTTGTGCGCGATTACATTGAAGGGGAAGGCTTGGACCTGTTTGCGTTAGCTGCGCAGGCGGAAGACACTCAAGACCAGATACGAGAGAACACAATGCGTCTACAGAATTATCTATTGCTCTACGAGAAGTTGTCATACGCCATGAATGCAGGGGATATCGGACGACTCGAAAGCCTACTGGCGCTGTGGATCCCGCTGTTCCGAGCTGCCGGGAAACACAAATATGGCAATTATACCCTCCGTTTCATGCACGACTTGTTCCAGGTATACCCGGAAGGCCTTCGGTGAGCCTAGTAAACATTATGGATGTGCTGTTCCCATGCTAAAATTGTGAGCGTGCAGACAGGCAATCAGGATGAACATACTTGTAAATCCAACAGGACAGCCTCACGAGTTCCGCGCCGTAGACTGGGTAATCGAGCTGCTGAACATGTTGATTAAGGTGTGTCCCCCACGGCCTCCTGTTTTGCGAAAACTAATTGTGAGTATATTATAAGGTGATCTACGGTGGCGAGGGGTCAAACTACACAAAGGAGCGGATATTGCTCGAGTCCGTCCTGGTTCTAATCTATAGAAACTGTCACGCCAACATGGAACGAAATTTCGCACTACCAGGCTTGAGTACATGACATGCTAAGAAGGACATGAGGAAGATGTTTCACGAGATACTCAAGCGCATGGAAGAGAGGGGACCAAACGAGTACCGGGCAAGGCGAAAGTCGAAGTACGTCATCCCTGACGCCGTTGGGAAAGGAGCTGCGATGATCGAGAAGGAGGGAGGATGGAGGACAAGCGAAGGTGCAGCGACGGAGATGAGTGAAGTAGGGATAGGAGATGGAGACAACGGAGCTATGGGGGAAACACAGACTGACGAGCTCGAAAAGGAGCTGAGCATGGAGGATATTAGTGTCGAGATGTGATTAGGTTGAGATCCGACGCATATGCTTACAGTCTGTTGATGCGCCGGCCGCGAATGTCCCACCCAGGCGATGCATTGGAGGAGGGGAAGCCATTTGGATCGCGTCCAGATCAGAAGGGCAGACCTGGGTGAACGTGCTATCGTCCTGCGCAAAATGCGTTCCGCCTTCCTTCAGGATATGGACCTTCTCCTTTCCGTCAGTCGCGCCTGCGTCATGAACCTCGCAGATCGCCGTCGTAGTCGCCCGCTGGTCCGCAGGCATGATCTCCCGACCAAGGAGTGCGTTGACAAAGGTAGATTTGCCAGCATTGAGATTCGTCGTCCTCTGAGTGTACGGAGACGGAGTAAACACAGTCGTCCAAAAGTCGTCGTATCGAGAGCGTGGTGTTCGCGCATCCTCAGGGGATTGTGCCAGAGTAGATGGTGCGCCAAATGCCGAGGGAGAGGCGACGTTCTCCTTATCCCCTCTATTGGTGTTCCTTGCCTGGTACAGGGGGCAACAGGGGTTATTCCCTGTGAGACGTGTCGACGGCACAAAGGGTTAATGACTGAAGGGAATCCTAGCATGGAATGCACTTACGCTGATGCCCGATCTGTCTGCATGCTCCGCACTTATGTGCACCAGCACCAGCAGCAGCAGCAGCAGCAGCTCCCTTGGCAGCGGACGAAGCGTCGAGGTCTTGAGCGCTGTTCAACGCGGATGTAGCCTGGGCATCACGTACCTCTACGCCCGAAGCTGAGGGTACAGGCAGAGGTGGGTAAAACCTGCCGTAGACCGTGAGCCAAACATGTGCGTGGAGAGATACAGGGATGGACAACAGCTAGAATTCAACACGGACTCAAGGATCCCGGGCTGAGAACGAGGTGCTTACTGGTGAACAATTTTCAATACCTCCTCTCCAAGCTCGTGCGCGCGGCTCCATTTTGTCTCGCGCGCTAGCGCCTCAACAGTACCTAATTTGTGAGACCGAGCACAGTCGACGATACGCTTGAGGACCTCGTCGCCCATTATTGCGCCTGGCCCGTTGCTATTGAGCCGACGCCGCCCATAGACCTTAATGGTGTGCTCCCGCCGGAGGTGTGGAGAGCGGCCTGGAGCTGGCAGTCTTGAGGGTCCATGGGAGCACTCGAGACCTTGGAAGCGCGGGCGGAGGACGCGGCCTGCGCGGACGATGACTGGTGGGAGGGATTTGGCAGGATAGCGAAGAGGGGATGGGTGGGAGAGCAGAGCGAGCAGCAGATGGGGGATGGCCTGAGAACGCAGCGAGCGCACCCCTGCGGGTGACAGGGGCGATTGTCCGGCTCTAAATTTGTAAAATGAATAAACTGTGAGAACAACGGCCTGAAAGAACAATAAAGTTGACTTACTTATTCTGTCATTCTCGTAATAGGCTACAATCGGCTTCCTGTAACAAAGAAGCCACGGCCGGAGACCCGCGTTCACCAGGCTGTCAAGCTCGGGCGCTAAAAGGGCTTCTACGTCTCCGCCACGCACCGCAGCCCCTCCCCCTTTCCCACTGTGCCCTCCTCCCTCCTGCACTCGCTTTTGCTGGTAGAACCTGACCCTCAATTCTTTGTACACACTCAGTGCCTGGGGATCTGGAGGAATAGCTCGCTCTGCCCCCTTTTCCGCGTCCGGACCTGCCTCAGCGCTTCGCTTCTCGACGTCACCGCCACTGCTCAATGCGTGGCCACTGGTCTCTGCCATAGTGCCTGCGGGACTGTCATCAGGTATGTCTTGTCGACCAGACTCTTTTCGCAAACGGTCCAAAATTGGAGATCTGGGCTCCTCATTGGTGGAGAACGTGCGAGGCGCTGATTCAAAATCGCTCGCGAAACGACTCTTTTACAGGTGAGTTTCTTATATGTCTACTCTCCAAATTATTGTATGCCGCACCTGCTCTGGTACCGCGTCTTGTCGCGGCCTGGATGGCTGCGTCAATCGCGCTTTCTTAGGTACGTGTGGTGTGGCGGCCGACAATGAGCTGCTTCGTTTTCGCCTTGCTGCCTCGCATTGCATTGTACGTCGTTCATCCATCTCGCGACACTTCTCCGCACGCTAAGCGGTGAGTGCCTTTTCATCATCAAAGTACTTTGGCTCCGCTAACAGCACCGCAATAGCTTCCTTCCCAGCCCCCCTAGCTGCACGACCGAAGCGCTGCCATAGCGCGTTCATCGGGTATGTCACCCGCCACTGGACGATCACCTCGATGTCGGAAATGTCGACACCCTGTGCAAGTTAAGTCATGTATCTTCACTTGAAGTATCTAATTTGTTGCTTACCATTCCGAATGAGTCTGTACAGTACAGCCCATATATTTTATGATCGCGAAACTCGGAAGTAGTCTCCTCACGAAAATCGGGGGTATTGTCGGAGTTGAACCACACAACACGGTCGCAAAATTTCTTGGTAAGTCGTGTCCTCAACCTTTCAGCCGCCTTGATTGACTCCTCAATGTTGTCGAAGAAAACCACGAAGCATGGGATGCAAATATCAGAGCGCTCGGGTGTCCAGTCGAAGGGAACCAAGAAGTCAAGGTCTTTGAAGGAAGACATAGGGCACTGGAGTTTGCGGACGGTCAGATAGACATTTGGGCGATCGTTTGATCATTGTATTAGGAGGAGATTGTGTTGTCGTGCTTGCAAGATATTGAGGACGTCAGCTTTGTCCAGTGGAGGGAGCGTTGCAGAGGGAATGAGGTATGGTGTCTTCAGAGGTAGCATGCTGCGCAACCTGCCAGATGTCGCTAGGTCTGGGCGAAACTTCCCCCACGCCTTAACGCAATGGGCTTCATCCCAGACGATGCTGATGATTCGAGAGGTGAATGATGAATTTTTCCAGATCCACTCCTGGCACGAAATGTGCCCAAACGCGAGCTCCGGGTTCAGTACAACAACTCCATGCGGGAGGGTGCCTGCAGCCTGACAAACCACAAAATAAGCTGTTCCGATGTCTGTTGCAGAGGTGGGTGCTAACCTTGAAATTATCTGATGATGCACTCTCTCCAGAGAGCGCAATGGCAGGAATCTTGAGGCTTGCAAGCTCATATTGATTCTGAATCCCGAGGAGGTTCAGCGGCGTGATAATGACTTGAATTCCATCAGGACGAAAGAGAAGTGGCATCCAAAAGGTCAAGGTCTTCCCAGACCCTGTCCCCGAAATGCACACAATATCTCTGTCACCTTTGAGCAGAGCTCTGGCTACATCGCATTGCCAAAGACATGGTCTGCAACCAAGCTTCTCCAAGGTACGCGCCTAATCTCAGAGACGTCAGGAAGCTCGGACACCATCCTCGGGACAGCGGATATCCCCGAGGACACGAGGCGTTCTGGGGAGAGGAATTTCTGAAAATTCCTGACGCCCTCGGGGGAGTGCCTACCAAACGGGGATAGGCCTGGGCGCTTTCTCTCCGGGCTCCGTATATTTACCTGTGTTTGGTGCCAGCCGTCGTAGAGAGTTGAGGGGGTTCGCAAATGATACAGTATACATGTGACCTGGCGCTTATTGTACAGGATTTCGTACTCTATCAGTTTCAGCTTGTCCTCCGCCTCTCGGAAGTCGCCCCCTCAACTCGAACGACGGTGGGTAGGAGCCTGCATATGCGGCTATGTATTGTCAATGTCGTATGGCGCAATTCCCTTATCGGCGAGGTGACCAAGTGTATTGTAACAAGACTTGCCGCTTACTAAATACAGTCGACACCCTCCTAACCCATACCTCTGGTAACCCATAAACTCCGAAAACCCATAGGATTTTGGCTTTCCCAAGTCGGGATAGGGGGAATTCGACCCCATAACCCATAGGTCCCCAATACCCCATAACCCATAGCCTTCTAGGGCTCAAAACCCATACGGTAATAGTGGTCACACTGAGATTTTGCTCATCAATAACCCACAATATACTTGACACATTCTTCCCAGTGTCCTCCCAGTGTCCATCCACGCTTCGACCATGTTGTGGGTAGGTTAGTGTGTTCGAAATCCCATAGCGCTCCCTCAAAGGGTCAGTAGACGCCTGTTCAGCCCTCGCTAACTGGGACTTATCAGGGCGCTTATGAGGTGCTAAAGTTCTGGTAGCCCATAACCCCTCAAAACCCATATATTTGGGCCTGTCCCGAGGGCTATGGGTTAAGAGGGTGTCGACTGTACAAGGTGAGCAGAGCCATGGCAATGTGTGTAGTTG